TTTATTTGTTATTAGGTTTATAGGGTTTATTAGTTATTCGGTTTATTGGGTTTATTTGTTATTAGGTTTATTGGGTTTATTTGTTACTAGGTGTCTATCTGAATTGTTTAAGGTGAAAGTCCCATTAGAGGTTAAAATCTGTGTCCTAGGAATATATCCAATGGAACTTAAACAATCAGAGATGGAGACGACATTGATAGACTACGGACTTCTTCAAGCCAGACGATCTATCCCCCCCATTGGGACTCTGGAAGAAAGAAATAGCAAACTCACTCGAACTGGGAAAACTAACATAATTACCAAGGGGAATGAACGGGACTTTGAGAAGCTTTGGGAGCCATATATGAGGATCATAGGGACTTAAGGTGGAGCTCATCAATGTGTCTTGAGTACAGTTTCTATTATTATATTACCTTGTTATTTTTCTCTGTCTTAATCTAAAGAGGTTTGTATATTCTTGGAACTAAATAAATGCAGGTTTGAATGGTGAAAAAATATATATATTTTTTTAAATAAGCCAGAAGCAGGTGAAAAAAAAAAAAGATAAAAAAAATAAGCCAGATGGAGGTGAACATTTTAAAATAATCATTTAAAAAATAACGCAGAAAACAGAGGGAGGTGAAAAAACTAATTTAAATTGAAAAAATAAGCCAGACGGAGGTGAAAAAATTAAAATAATAATTTTTAAAAATAACCCAGAAAACAGAGGGCTTTTGTCACAGAAGAAGAAGCAAACGGCGCCGGCAGAATCGACCCGGGAGCCCGTAAATAATTAACAACGGGCGCCGCGCGCCAGATAATTGAGAATTAGGGAAGAGAACGGAGATAATGGCGACCTGTGAGCGCCTTTACGTCAGAGATGAAAAAAACGAGGAGCGGCTGGAGGGAAAAGGCCTGAGAGGGAATATTAACATGATACGGAAAAGAGAGGGAATATTAACATGATAAGGAAAAGAGAGGGAATATTAACATGATGAGGAAAGTGATAGAAGTAAGTGTTGTGTTGTGCACCAAACACCAAGGCAAATTCCTTGTAAGTCTAAAAACCTACTTGGCAATAAACCTTATTCTAATTCTGATTCTGATTCTGAAAAGAGGGGGAAGGTGGGAAAGGCTGGGAAACCTCACCTTTGCCTTACAGTCATTAAGACACAGAGCAATCGCTTTCACACTTGTCTGAGTAAGAAAAAGAGCTCTGTGCGCGCGCACGTGCACGTGTGCGTGTGTTTGTGAGACAAGTGTGTTATTAAAGACGAGAAAAAGTCCTGGCGTCGACACGTTTTTCCCATTCCAGGTAGTGAGTCGGAGTGTAATGACAAATTTCCCAACACAAGCAGAAAAAACTGCACCGTCAGGCGATTGGAGCAGAGCTCCGATTTGATACGCTCTTTTTTTTTCTAAAGGGAGAAACTGTGTAAGTACTTCAGGTTAAGTTGCTTCTGTCTGTGTGAGAACAACAAACAGAGCTGTGAGGAGTCAGACAGCGTGGAGAGTTTATTTCTCCCAGACTCAGGCAGAGAAACAGAGGGGGAGTCGGAGAGAGAGCGTTCATTCATCGTTATCAGACGCTTTAGAGAGAAACTAGTCAGAAAAACGTCCAAAAAAAGTTTAAAGCAGGCAGATTCACAGGCAGAAGCCAAACGCCTCCAAACCGATGGGACCCCAGAAGGTTCTCCTGCTGGAACCTGAAAGATTTTTAATTTTAGAAATGTCAATGAAAGGAATCTCCAGGAGCAGAAACATTTTATGAGCTCTCTCTTAATCGAAGCTCCGAGTCTTTACACTTTTTCATTTTTGTGAAAGAAACACAAAATGTGGACGTAGCTTCGTCCTTTTGGGAGGAATTATGTCCTCAGGAGCGTAACTATGAATAATAAAAACATAAGACATAAAACAAACAAACAAACAAACGATTGGCCTGGCAGCACATGGAGTGGTTCCACCTTTTGCTGCATGCTGGGAAATGTAGTCCTGGACTTCTGGCCGCTAGTTACATGAAAACAAAGTGTTTGACGACGTTTTCCCTCTGAGCTCTGGGAAATCATTCCCAGAGCTCTGAGGGAAAACTGTGCTATCTACAGACTTAATTACTTCCGGTCAGATAGAGGGAGGAAACGTCTTGGAGTTGATCGTAAAAAAGGCGGGAAAATGAGGAGCTGAAAGCTGCAAGACACAGTCAGTTATTCTCACGTTATTTCAGCTTAATAACTGTAAGGATATTTTTTAAAAACGTTTAAAAACACCAACAAAAGATAAATAAACGCTTTGTAATAGCTTATAGTCACTATTGTGTCACACACTTAAAGTCAAACATATCTACATCTTAATCTGCTTTTAAAAAATGTCCTTAAAATACCTTAAAACAAAAAAAAAGGCATCCAGAGAAGTTGTGACAGTAAAGCTCAGGAGAGCTGCTGTTGCCTGGAAGTAAAGTGGAGTCACAGGTGAGGGTGGAGGAGCTTCTGAGGCCCTCACACGTCTCTCCTCTCTTTCTGTTTCCCGGCATTGATCTGTTGCGATTCTTTTCAGAAACGACCCTCCGATCATCACACTGCAGCTGAAAAATGCGGCAAGTTTTTCGCTTTGAGCTGAGCTGATGCAACTGGTAGTCAGCCGGAGCTGCTGTCAGCGGGGCAAAAAACTATGTCTGCTGCAGACTGAAGGAAACAAGGATGGATATCCAACTCCACCCACATCCAAGTCGGCCATTTTGATTGGTCACCAATAGGAAGATCCCAGGAGAGAAAATCGTAATTGCTTCATGGCAACGTAGAAGTGAAATGAATCTGGCAAACACTGAATAAAACTATACATAATATTACGTTAAAATAATGTATGTTAAATAGGTTTGTATAATAAGTCCAAACAAGTTTAACCAAAAAATATTTATTTATCACAATTATGAAGGGTGGAGGGTTTGGGTTAGGGTCAGAGTTTGGGTTAGGGTTAGGGTCAGGGTTAGGACATCGTTTGTCTTCCGATTTCATATAAACAGTAAAGTTTCGTTTCCACCTCAGAAAGCTGCTAGTCACATGACCTAATCAAAATGGCCGACTTGGATGTGGG